ATGTGAGTTGGTGGCATTTTCTGGTGGAAAAGACAATGTGAAGGGGAAAAAAAAGCCAGTAACGCACATGTTAAATGAACCAGTCAAGTGCAGACAATGGAAAAGCTGAAAAATGAGTATTGAGGAAAGCATTTTGTGGTGGTAGCTATTTCTCACTGCAGTTCTTTATAACTTCCCAGATGAGAGATTCATGACCCTCGGAAGAAGTCTGTATCCTCCAGGGTTTGGCCTGAGGCAGCCCATGACTCACTCATTGCCAGGGCTGGCAATAAGCTGAGGAACAAGCAAGACAACAAAATGGTGGTGGAAACAGCAAAAAAAAGAGACAAATGAATTAATTTGTGGAAGAGCGAAAAAAACCAAACCTCTGTGCACAAAGAAGGGCCCAAATGGAGTGAGGGTGAATGCCTGTGCACTGAGGACTCAGAGGAGCTGCCATCCCAGGCATTCAGCTCCATTCCTTCCAGGAGAAACACATTCAGGTGCCTCACTCTTCAAAGGTGAGGTAGGAGGAAACAGATTTGAGTTTCTACGCGCCATTCCAGCTGCTGCGCGACTCTTTTGCAGGAAGACAGAGGATCTGTGGATCTGCATTGCCATCTAATGGCAAGGGAGAGCGTAAAGCGCTCGCTGGGGCCAGCAATGGGCTGGAACAGCAAAAACCAAGGAGGGAACGGATGATCAGCACAGATTGTCCTTTGCTCTAAAGGCAAATCCTGCCTCTGTGACTGAAGGGTCTCACCGGAGAAGGGCAGCCCAGAGAAAGGAACGGCAGCCAAAATCTTGCAGCAGATGATGCTGGTTCCTCCTCTTCTGGCATCCTCTCCGTTCTGTATTATCCAGGAATGTTAACATGCATTCAGGGTGGGATTTGCTTTCTTCTGCTGTACCAGATGCTGGCAGCAAGACAGGCATATTTCAGGTGCTGAGTGAATTCTGCCATCCTGTTCAAAGCAGTGTCAAATTCAGCATCTCAGGTGTTCAAAGACACTGCTGGGAAATGCAGATAACCAGGATTATTTAAGAGAAGTGGTAAATTTCCCTTGGATATAGGTATGGGAAAAGCACAGCTACCACTTTGGTCACACCACTTTGGTACCTTGTGTTCATCCATGGTGAGTAATGGATACTTAAGGAGAAAGTATGAGAGAGGAGTATTACTGATTGGTACTGCCAGTCTGGGAGACAGCCCTGCAGGGAGAGCCCACAAAGCACAGAAATCCAGTGAGATGTCAGGATTTATGGATTTTGTCATTTAAAAGGAAAGCCAAGCTTGATGTTCAGTCTAGGCCACCTTTGCTAACGATACACTGTGTTATATAGTCTCTATAACAGAAACTTTACAAGAGAGTGGATTGTTAGGAGCTACTTACATTAATAAAATGAAGGAATTTGGTAAAGGATTGTCAACAGCTTCTTTATCCTGCTTTTAAATGTTTCTAGCCTTGACACATGCAGCTTTGCATATGAGGAGGAGCTGGAGCTGCATCAGTGTGAAAGAGAAGAAGGAGATCTTTAATGACCAAAGTTTAGAGCAGACCAGGAGCTGCAGGAGAAAATGGGGGATATAAAGTGTCTGGTTTTCCCAGATAATGAAATGGAACATGGTGTGGGTCCCAGCTAACTTCTGGGCCACAAAAAAGGAGTAGGGATTGAGAGCACAGAAAATGTTGAGACCTGCCAGACTTCAGGCCACGGGTCTGACCACCCCCAGTCTGTTCAGATGCCTGCTGTGACACGCTTCCCAGGCAGCCTGCTGCCAAAGGAATGAGCACACTCTCCAACAATCCAACTTCATTTCCTTCTGGTATCCTCTCATATTTACACACCAACCTTGCCAAGCCGTGCTCAGCCCAAACAGTCCCTCTGAAAGAAGAGGAAAAACAAAAGAACTCTTACAGCCTGTATAGCACCTTCCTGCCTGCCTGAAACAAAAGAAAAATAAATTGTTCGGAGGGCTCTTCTTTCTCTTCTTTCTTGGTCGCTCACCGTTTCACAAGCTAATGAAAGCCAGAGGCTGTGGGAGTGATGGGATTATCATCACTGAGTGAATTTTTCATGTCTTTCTCTGCAGTTTGTGAAGCAGGGAAGAGAAGAAGGGAATGTACCTGGTTGAAGGGCTACAAAGGGTGACATGTTCCTTGATGTTCCTTTCTAAATGTGGCTCTGAGTCACGCTGAAGAGTTGATTAGAAAAATTACCTTCCTGCAGTAGAAAGGCAGAAGAGTCTCATTCAGTGTTCGCTTCCCCAGCCCTGACTCCGAGCTTGCCCGAGCCTGTGGCAGGAAGGGGGTTGGTGAGCTGGCTGGAAAGCCACTTGTGCTCCTCTCAATCATAGAAATTGTGAAGAGGCTGCAAGAGCAGCCATAGGAACAGCTCGAAATGCACACCCAAGGGTACAAGCAGCTATAGTCCCACAGAGCAGCATGTATGGTCTTGCATCTGCCTCCATCACACGAGTTCCTACATGTGCCAGGTCAAACGGGGCCAACGCAGTCCTTCCCCCTCGGTTTCCTCCCCTGCTTGATGCGTCTCCAAAGCTGCACCCCAAAACCTGCTCCTCTGAAACAGAGCTACAAACGGAGCACATCCAACCTTGCGGCGTGCGGGACCACGGGGTGGAACAGGCCTGGAGGCAGGATGGCAGCGATCATCGAGGGAGGGAAGCCCTGGAGGAGCCACAAAACACAGCTGGATGGTTTGAACTGACAGGAGCAGTGTGAGCTGGACCACCAAGAGAAGTTATTAAATGTGTATGTTGTCTCGGAAAAAGCCGGTGGGGATCACCACAGCTGTGCCAAAGAGGCAGCTCAGCACAGCGGTGGCTGCCATGACCCCTCGTGTGTCCTCGGGCTGTGGTCACCAGCACTGACCCCAGCTCAGCTCCTGGGGTTTCACCCTCAGCCCAAAACCCCCCAAATCCCTACAAAAACCTACTGCCCTCAGCGGAGAAATGCCAGCCATGATAGCGATTAACGTGGTTTATTGGGGGTTAATGACACTTCCGCAGGTTTGGGAACACTGTTAATGTAGTGCCTCATCCCTACACCTTAAACCCACACCTTAAACCTACTTCCATGCTGAGGACCTGCGTGGTTTTATCTTCTACTGTTCAAATCACAGAATCATTTAGGCCTCTAAAATCATCAGGATTGGAGAAAAATAGGGAAAAAAAAAAAGCCCATGGGGCCACGTCGTTTCAGCGGTACCTCCGGGCTGGAAGAGGGGAAAGAAATGTGGCGATTTCTGAGGGGAAAATGCAGATTTAATTACATCAGGTGTGCTGAGGGGCGGGAACACAGTAAGTGGCAAAAGCCAGCATCGGTTTCTCAGCAAACGCTTGACTTAGAACCGTTAAAAATTCCGATCGTTGCTTTATATATAGGAGGAGAAGGAAGGAAGGGAAAAGAAAAAAAAAAAAGAAAAGAAACACCAAGCGGCTGCGCTCGCGTTATTTTAACATCTAACTGCGCTCGTGAGGCGGTGCCGGGGCGGATGAGGGGCGGGCCGAGCGCCCTCACCCGCCAAGAGCTGCAGTCCCGGCGCGCCGCATCTTGGCGCCGCGCAGCACAGCCCTGGGGGCGCCCCCGGCCGCCATTTTGGGGCGGGGGGCGAGACCCTCATCGGGCAGTGGGGGGGAGGAGGCTTGGTTTTGGTAAATTAATTAATTTTGAATTAAAACCCACTAAATCATTGCCGTGATTTAACCCCAGCCAGCAACCAAGCACCACGCAAGCCGCTCACTTACTCCCCCTACCAGGGGATCAGGGATAGAATAAGAAGAGTAAAAGCTGGAAAACTCGTGGGTTGAGATAAAGACAGTTTAATAGGGAAAGCAAAAATTAAAAGCAAAAGCCATGCATACAAGCAAAGCAAAACAAGGCTTTTAATTCACTGCTTCCCATGGGCAGGCAGGGGTTCAGCCATCTCCAGGAGAGCAGGGCCACATCACACATAATGGTTACTTGGGAGGACAAACATCATCACTCCCAACATCCCCCTGCTTCCTCTTCTTCCCCTCACTTTAGATACTGAGCATGGTGTCATATGGTCTGGAATATCCCTTGGGCCAGTTTGGGTCACCTGTTCTGGCTGTGTCCCCCTCCCACATACTCCCAGCCCCCTCCCCAGGGTGGCCATACAAAAGCAGAAAAGGCCTTGGCTCTGTGTAAGCCCTGCTCAGCAATAACAAAAACACCAGTATATTATCAACCCTGTGTTCAACACAAATCTAAAACACAGCCCCACACCAGCCACTCTACTCCAACCAAACCCAGCACAATTATTCACAAAGGGCAGCCCAGTGGGTGCTGTGGGGGCACTTTGTGGGGCTCTGGCCCTGCTCACGGGCATTGTGCTGGTGTTGGCTTTGTGTCCAACACTCTACTGTCGTGATTAGCTAAATAAAGGGCAGATTTTCCCATAAAACTCTCTCCCAAAGGCCTTTTGGTGCCATGCCAGCTCACTCCAGAGGATGGGGGAGTTCTGAGTGTTGTGCTGAGTCTCCTGGTGCCCTCATGGCTGGGGATGCTGTGAGCACTTCTGAGGGAAGGACTGAGGGGTTGTGAGGGTGTACAGGGGAATTCGGGCTGTGAGTGACTGGGTGGTCAACAGGACCTGGATTGGGCAAAGAACTGGGGGAATGTGAAGGCTGGATCTCAGGAAAAGGCTCTTCCCCCAGAGGGTGCTGGGGCACTGGTCACGGCCCCAAGTCTGCCAGAGCTCAAGGAGCATTTAAGGCAACGTTCTCAGGGACAGAGTGGGATTGTTGGGGTGTCCTGGGCAGGGCCAGGAATTGGACTTGATGATCCTTGTGGAACCCATCTCAGGATATTCCATGACTCCATGCAGGTCCCTGGATAGCAAAGTCAGTGAGTGTTGTTAGGCCGCCCTGGAAGGTGCAGTAATTCAGCCCTGCTACAGTCAGGACAAGGCAGGTGTTGGGCTGTGAGGCTCAGCGAGAGCATGTGAAGGGATGGAGAGGGCATGGGGTTAGGGGGATGTGTTTAATAGAGCTGCAAAAGGAAAACAGGGCTTGTCCTGGGGCTGTTGGATGCTCTGCTTGGTGTCCTCTGGCAGTGGAACTACTCCTGATGTTCTTCCCAGAGCCTGCTCTTGCCTGACAGAGAGAAGGTGACTCCTTCAAACAGCAGAAGAAATAATTTACGGTGATCATCAGACTGCAACTAAAGGTATTGTTCAGTTCCCCAAGTGTTTAGTGAGGGAAATTTCAAGGACAAGCACTCAAACTTAGAGAATGCCTTGAGCCTGAACTTGGTATCTAAATCTGAGCTCTGTTATGTGTTATACTATCACAGATTATAGCTAGTTCCTTAACACCAAGGCTTATTTTTACAGCAAAAAACCTGCTGTCTCTATCCTGCATCTTTTTATAACATATATTTGGCTACCTCTTAAGCACATGATTGACTGATTGGTTGATTTATTTTATGCATGGCTTTATTTTGGAGTAATCTAAAATGATCCTTCCCTTTCCTCCATTAGCCTCATGCCATTATTCCAAGAAGCCAGGCCATCCCCCCAGATCTGCTGGGCTGGTTAATTGCTCTGCACACACAAACGGGTGCTAATCAGCTTTCTTTCAAGCATGTGTTCATATGTCAACACTTTTGCTTCTGTCAGAAGCTTAAAAATGGAAACAGTTTTCTCTTTAAGAAAACAGGACCCAAATAAGGAGATGGTGGAGTGGTGAAGATTCCTCTAGTGAGCCTGTTCCAGCTCATTCCTTAGAAAGGCTGTGGATGGAAGATCAGAGAAGGGGCCAGTAGATCTGGGATTTGTCCAGAGGTCTCTGGGTTTAAAGACCTGTGCAACCACTTGAGCTCATTTTCCCTGTAGCTTGCCGGGGTACAACTTCTTTCTCTGCCCAAGCTGTTAAAAATCTAAAATTTCACTCATCAGATTCTTTCAGTTGCGAGACAGATCCAACCCAGCCTTGAGCAAAAATGGAAGCTATCAAGAAGAAGATGCAGATGCTGAAGTTGGACAAGGAGAATGCCATTGACAGAGCAGAGCAGGCTGAGACGGATAAAAAGGCAGCTGAGGACAAATGTAAGCAGGTAAGTGGAAATAAAATCACTGGCTGTGTGTGTGCTGTGAAAATAAGTGTCACAAAATACTGTGCTGCAATTTTCTGATTCAGAAAGCAAAATAATTTGAAGTCAGGTTTTCTGTTAATCTTCTTTTGAAGTTTTTTTGCCTTTTTGTTACGCGTATACAGCCAGGTCTAGGCAGTAACTTGTCAGCCATCTCAGTCTTTGCAAAATTAACATCATCCTCAGATTTATTAGCAGTACTTTGTCTAAGTTTTCTTAAATCTTACATAATTGCCTTAATTTTCTTGTGCTTTTGATTCCATGGAAAAGGCCTTTACTTACTCAAAATCAAAGCTGCAAACCTTGACACCTGTAGGACTACTGCTAATAGAGTCAGCTGTGTCTAAACATTAATTAAGCCTCTCCTTGAAGCAAATTAATAAAGTTCACTTCAAGTCTTTGGTGCACAGAGTGCCCCTTAGAGGTGCCAACTAAGACTCAACAGTAGATATGTTCTATCATTTTTCGTCAAGAATAATCAAAAATATCTTAATTTGGATGCTCTGCTTTTAGCTGAATTTTAACGATAAGATTTTCAGTTCTTTTGCTTTTCAATGTCTTTATTCTGGGTGTCTGCCTCCTATTTGAGCTTTGGTATTTTCAGAACAATCTTGAAATGTAAGTTGACTACACTCAAGTTTTTACAGCACTCCTTGTAAAATTACCACCTTTCCCTTTTACATTCTCTAAATGTGGCTGCTTCTACTACATCTTCCAGACTGCTCTAATATGTTATTAGCATTCATTTGGCCTAATATTTCTTTTTCTTTAGAAAAATAAATCTTTGATCTTACTCCTCTTTTCTGAGTTGTCTCAAAATTTTCAGCTTTTTTTTTTTTTTAATGTGGGCACAGTACTCAAGTAGTGATTTTAATATTCATACACAAAGCCAGCATCACCTTCATCCTGCTGCTCACTGTCCCTCTGTTAGAGCACCCAAGCAAGGTTTCAGTTCTCTCACACTCTCTGGTTACTCTGAGGAAAACTATTGCAACGTAACAACGTTCCAGAATAGCACACTACCAAAAACGTCTTCATCATTGAAACTAAAATGAAGAAAGTGCACCAAAACACAAACTATTTTGATAGACTAAATTTGTGTGAAGGTGGAGCTAAACAGATAAATCAGCTTCCCAGCAGACTGAGCTGTTTTGAGTTGCAAATGAAAGGATGGAGCAGATGGGTTTGCAGGCCCACCCTTATCAGCAGCCAGCCTCTGATAACGTGAATTCTTCAGGGAGCATGAGGCAGTTTGTCATTAAACAGTCTCCCAGCAGGTTATAAATAGCACCATTCTAGTGAATAATATGGATTTATATGGTATGGAGGAGTCTGAGCCTCATGGTAGGATGGAGCATATCTTGCTGGGCCACAGTTAGAGAATAATCCGGGTTGGAAGGGACCTCCCGAGGTCACCAGATCCCTTCTACAGCAGGGCCAGCCCTGTTCCCTCCCACTTCCATGTGGGTTGAAGTGTCCTGAGCCTCCCACAAAGGTGATTAGGGAACCACCACTCATTTTTTCCAGCTGTACAGGAATTGAACAGTTTCCTGATAAATCACCACATCTGGGAACAAACACAGAGGCATAATTTAAAAACATTTATAATAATGCTGTAAAACTGATTGTTGCAGAGTGTCCAAAATAAAAATGGGGTGAAAAGGGGCTTATACCCAGTTATATATTAAACCAGATCCCATGTGTGCAGTGGCAGAGAACGTTCTTCAAGGGTGAGATGTTTTTAGTGATCTTTCCCCAGCAACTGCTACCAGTCATTCTCAGACTGTTGTCCCCAGCAGAACTTTGATCTGGTCTTTTGTGACTCTTTGTACGTTAAAATGAAGTTAAACTAATAGTAAAGAGAGGTTTTATCATATTAAACTGTATCTGATACTACATCAGGATGCTCACTTTGGGGGTTTTCTCTCTTGAAAGGTAGAGGATGAGCTGGTTGCTCTGCAAAAGAAGTTGAAAGGAACTGAAGATGAGCTGGACAAGTACTCAGAGGCTCTCAAAGATGCCCAGGAGAAACTGGAGCAGGCTGAGAAGAAGGCCACTGATGTATGTACCCACTTCCCTGTAACTCTGCTCTGTGTATTTTGTAGGTACTGCACTGTTATAGGAACGGCTGAGAATTTCTATACTGCAGCACTAGGCTGAGGATAGAAAGGCAGGGTTGTGGTGCAGGGATTTTCTCTCCTCTCCCCTCTGCCAGAGGGAGCCAGAGCTGTTCTGCACCGAGCCCACGGCACACGCAGCTGCCCCCGGGACACGGTGCCACTCGGGGCTCGATGGACACCCAGAGGAGAACTGATGGCACTGAACCGGGGGGAAGGAGTGCTGTGGGTGGGAATTCTTTAGAAAAACCGAAATCTCCTTTAATCAAGTAAACAAAATCGTGATCTTTGCGGGAAGCCGGGACAGCGGCAGGGCTCCAGCTGTGGCGTAAAGATGCCCTTTGCCTCCATCCCCAGGGTTAAAGAGCAGCCCCGGCTCCCCGCCACCCCTCGGCCGCCCTTTGGCAGCGAACGAGCGGCGGCAGGGCCCGGCAGCGGCGTCACCAGCCCCGGACCCCCCCTTTTTGGAACCGGGAGGTGGGGCCCGGGGAGCGCGGCCGCCGGGGCTGCACCCCCCCGGCACGGGGATGGGGATGGCGATGGGAATAGGGACAGCGGATGGGATGGGAACAGGGATGGGGATTGGGGATGGGGAATGCGGGGGACGGGCGGGCCCGTCCGCGGCCTGCCTGCGCCGACTCCCCGGTGCTACGTCACAGCTCGTACCTCCACCTCCAGCCGCGTGACGTCACCGGGCCATTGAAAGGCGCGGGGCCGCCACGTGCAGCACCTCCGCGCCCAGCCCGCCGTCCGCGCCGCGCCCATGGCCGCGCCGAGCTCCCTGGAAGCCGTCAAGAGGAAGATCCAGTGCCTGCAGCAACAGGCGGATGAGGCGGAGGATCGCGCCCAGGTCCTCCAGCGGGAGCTGGACCTGGAACGGGACCTGCGGGAGAAAGTGAGACCGCCCGGGGCTGCCTGCTCGCCTTCTCTCGGTCGCTCTCTTCCCGGGCTGCTCCTTCCTTCCTGTCTCTGGCTCTCTCTCGCTGGGGCGCGCCCGGCTCTTCCTCGCTGCGGGAGGACGGCTCGCTTGCCTCCATCCCCGGGCTGCTCCCGCTCCGCACGCTCGGCCCGCGGGAGCCGCCGCGCTGCCGCAGCGCCGCGCCCGCCCCGTCCCGTCCGGTCCCGTCCCGGGGGGAACCGGGCGCGGCCCCGGCGCCCGCTGCTTCTCGCGCTTTGGGGCCGATCCCTGCGGAAAAGGGACACCCATCGGCCACGGGTTCGAGCTCCCGTGGGCACCGGGGAGCGCTTGCGAGTTTAGGAGGAAATGGCTGTTTAATTAGGGAAAAGCGCTGCATGACACGGAGCGGGGAGTTCCCGCCTCTCGGCGCCGCACCGCTGGCTCCGGCACAGCTGGGGAATGTCCGAACTGCTGCAAAATAACTTTCCCTCCTGGTTTTCTCACAGAGAAACGCGAACTCTCCACTAGCGTGCGGCTCTCCCAGGGCTGGACAGCTGGTTTCACTTAGATTTGTGTGTAATCAGCCTTCCCGGCATCTTCCTGCTATTTTATCACATGTCAGCGAGTTAGTTTTACCGTATAAGGACTGCGGGCTGCTGCTGGGAGAGGTGGAGCCAGGCTCACCCCAGCTTCCCAGTGGCCCCGGCTCCAGAGCTTTGGAATCTTGCTGAATTAAAATATGACTTAAAAGTGCCCTGTTTAGAGGAAGGAGTTGCTGCCACAGAACATATGCCAGTTTTGTACATGATCGATGCCTTGTGTGTAAATCGAGGAAGTTAAACACAGCACTGGGTAAAAAACAAATGAAATGTTGGATAATTTATGACTAGAGGAATCCTGGGTCAGCTTCCATTTGGATCAGCCACTGAACTCCTTTCCAAGATGGCTCAGCTGTGAATGGAAACCACTTCCTCCAGCTTAGGAGTGGTCAGTGACCAAATTTGCAAAGCTGCAGCAAAACACTTTTTTTTTTTTTTTTAAATGTTTTACCATAAAGCATAAAACAATCACCCTTCCAGAGTCTGTAGCCCATAAAAGTCTTTTTTTTTTAAAAAAGTTAATCTTAGAGATGGCAATCCTGCTCAGATTTGGGGACAATAAAGTGCACAAACCTGGCAGTTATGAAAGCAGGGCTTTATTTTTCTTCAAAAACAAGCAATTAAAGGAGCCATATCTTAATAAACACATATTTATGGACACCAGTTTGTCCATGTTGTCTGTATCAGGCCTTTCTCCTGGCAGTCTCTCCATTTATAAGTCTATTTTTTATACATTAATAGCACTCCAATTACTGAGCAGTTTATTCAATAATATACAAACCTTATCAAGAAATGCTTTCTGCCTAATTCCTTAAGCAGCACAGGAAGCAAAGTGAACTTATTTTAAGAACATATCTAATTTTGCCCCAAAAAAGCCTGACTCTGCCATGTTGAGGCCAACTGTCAGGCCCAGCTGACCGTGAAGATTCTTCAGTGTTTGCAGGCTCAGGAGCCAGGATGGAAAAGGAACTGGCTCAGACCTCAGCAGTGGGTTGTGACTGTGGTCCAGGATGGAACCAAGGGCAGAGAAACCAACAGTGAAGGTTTTGGAACTAAGCCATTATGGGAACAGTTCGTTGTTTAACTGTAGATAGATTCAGCCCGGTAAAGTGATCCAAAAATCCTTCGATCCTCTGGCAGTCCTGTCCTTTGTTGTGTGGCAGGACCGATAAGTACCACTGAAAAAAAAGAAAGGACAAGCACACACTCCATACCTTGACATTCCTGAGATGCCACAGTTTAAGCAAACAAAAAGCAGAGGCAGAAGGGCCCCTGGAGCTCCGGGGAGATGCCATTGCAGTTTTAGGAGAATTGCTTAGTTGGGAAGGTTTTCCAGTGGCCTGTGTAACCCCGGGTCTGGGTGGTTGTTTCACAGGCCGAAGGGGAGGTGGCAGCTCTGAACAGACGCATCCAGCTCGTGGAAGAGGAGTTGGATCGTGCCCAGGAACGACTGGCCACAGCCCTGCAGAAACTGGAGGAGGCTGAGAAAGCAGCAGATGAGAGCGAGAGGTATGGCCCTTTGGGACTTTCTTGGGGTAAAAAATTTAATGTATATGAATGAAATATTCCTGTATAATTTAGTATCTGCAGATCAGAGACTCAGAACTTCTTTATAAGCTTGAGTGAGTAATTCCTTTAGCCTTGAAGAACATGGAGGGTCGTAATGGGCCATTTCTGGGTTACAAATATCAAATTCCACTTCAGGACCTTTGAGACAGAAGTGCTAAAACGCTTCTACATTAAACACGCTTTGACTTCTGCAGGGGAATGAAGGTGATTGAGAACAGAGCAATGAAAGATGAAGAGAAAATGGAGATTCAGGAAATGCAGCTGAAGGAGGCCAAGCACATTGCCGAGGAAGCCGATCGCAAATACGAGGAGGTAAAAGGGAGAAGGAAATGGTGAAACGTTCAGGAGGGCTCTGAAAAAACAACTTCACTCCCCACTTTAGTTCCTCTTTGTGCACTTGTTGATGCTCTAACCTTGGAACATTCCCAACAAGGAGGAGTTTTAACAGTGACTTTGCAGCGTCCTGATGCTAAAAGCACTGCAAAATCTTAACTAATTGGGAGGTCTGTTATGTCTGGGGGGGTGGGATTGATTCTAATTCCCTCATTCCAAAGGAAGCAGGAGTGTAGTGCTTTGAGAGAAATCTGTAAGGAAGCTGTCCCTGCCTGTGGCAAGGGGGTACAATGAGATGATCTTTAAAGCCCTTCCCAACCCAAACCATTTTGGGATTCTGTGAACTCCAGACTGGCCTGACAGAGCTGTTGTGTCTTTACAGGTTGCCCGTAAACTGGTTATTTTGGAGGGTGAACTGGAGCGAGCTGAGGAGCGTGCAGAGGTGTCTGAAGTGTGAGTAACTGTTTAGAATACACTGAAGGTCAACACTATATATCATTAGAAAAATCTACTCCTGGTAGGCAGGCATGTAATCAGTACCTGTAGAAAAGCTTGTTTGTACATTATATACCCACTTTTCTCCTTTCAGACTTAACTACCTCCTGCCTTGTATGTTTTAGATTCTTTGAAAATTAAATCACACTAGTAATTCATACTTTTATTATCCCCCCATAGTAAATGTAGTGACCTTGAAGAGGAGTTAAAGAACGTCACGAACAACCTGAAGTCTTTGGAAGCTCAATCTGAAAAGGTTGGTTCTTGCAGAGAACTAAGGGGTACAGGCAAAGCCAAAACTTGTAAATAAAATTCACAGAAATAAGCCAGAAATACAAAGCAAGTGAGAGGTTTTAGCTGCCTGGCTGTGGCTCCTGCTCCATCAGTTCTGCCCACACCAGCCTGAAAAGCCTGGGGAAGAGGAGAAAACCACGGAAATGGTGTTTGCAGCTGTTGTAAAAGGAAAAGTGGTTATAAATAGATCACAGTTTCATAAACATTTATTATTGTTGCTACAACTTCCCTTAAAGAATGTTTATTGTTTTCACAGTACTCGGAAAAAGAAGATAAATACGAAGAAGAAATCAAGATTCTCTCTGACAAGCTGAAAGAAGTGAGTTTGGCCATCCCCAAAAACTGTATTTTGGCATCATTTCTTTTAAGAGCATCCAGTGACTCTGTTTTAACTTATTTTAGGCTGAAACTCGTGCTGAATTTGCAGAGAGAACCGTTGCCAAACTGGAAAAGTCTATTGATGACCTGGAAGGTATGGAATGGCTCAAATTTCTTTAAAAGTGGTTGGTTCCAAATCAGAAAACAAATTTTAGGAGTGAGTGGTGGGTTTTATTGGCAAAGGGCAGCAGCACTCATCAGGTGTATTGGTAGATGGGTGTGATGTGTCTACTGGGAAGTTCTGAAAGAGGTTTTCCTGCAAACAAGTTGGTAACAACAACCTGCTTTTGGCCAACTCAGGGACTCAAGGGCTCGAGATCCCAACCCTACTTAATCTGCTTACTGAAAAAATAATTGTGGGATTGCAAAAAGGAAACGTAGGTGAAGCTCCTGACCGGGCAGCTGTGTGGGTGTTTTGCTTCCCTTCTGATACTCAACCACGCCTCTGTTTTCTTCTCTTGTTTTCCTCCCCAACTGCTTTGGCTGCTGTTGCCTTCTGCCTGTCTCCTCCTCCTGTGGCCTCCTCTCTTCCCTGCATTTTCTGCTGGCCCTGCTGACGGACAGACGAGCTCTACGCTCAGAAGCTGAAGTACAAAGCCATCAGTGAGGAGCTTGACCATGCCCTCAATGACATGACCTCTTTGTGACCTGCCCCCGTGTGGGGGCACAGGGGGGGCTCCCTCTCGCTGCGTTTCTCAAGCTTTTCTTGCCTGTCCTCCCTGTCACTCCTGTGCCACTTCCACAAGTGACCCTTCCACCTCTGTGGGCACTGAGCTCAATAAAACACGATACCTCTACCTGTCAGCCTTTGGGGTTTCCTTCCTTGGGACTTACCTAAACTGTGCTGGTGACACCACCAAAAACATATTCAGCTCCTCACACAGGGAAGGGCAGACACAGCCAGGGCAGGACCTGGCACTGGCAAACACCTCAGTTTTAGTGTTCCCAGGACACAGGTGGCAGCAAAAAGCTTTGGGTGCTTTTGGTGTGCCCTTGTGTTCCATCTGCCTGGTTAAAAACCTCTCGGTGCAAGGAAAACCCAGCAGGATGTGTCCTGTACATCACACATTAAGTCAGAACACAAGTCTGTCACTTCACAAGAGACATGGCCAAAACCCTCCCTAAATGAGAGCAGTTGCCAAAAGATGCTCCAGCTGTAGAGGTGTGTTAAACACGAAGGTAAGTTACCACAGGTTTTATTAAAAGGAAAAAGCTGTAAAATAACATGGCTTAAGTTGTGTTTTCCTTCTTTCCTACTAGAAAAACTTGCCCAAGCCAAAGAGGAGAACCTGGGCCTGCACCAGACACTGGACCAGACGCTAAACGAACTGAACTGTATATGAGAGGCAGGGACCTGCCCGTGGCCAAGGAACTGCCCCATCCCTGCAGCGCTCCTCTCTCCTTCTTTCTCTCTGTATCCTGGGAAAGCCAATTAAGTTATGACCAGCACAGCCACGCCGGAGGCTCTGGGTGTCACTCGGGGACCTTTTTCCCCCAGACCTCCCCAGGGAGCCCCCGTGGAGCCCCTGCGTGCCCCACCCGTGGCTGCCCCGCACGGTTCATGACTCCTTTTGTATAACCTGGTAGAAGCTGTACCCGGGCAGTGGCGGCACCGCCCGGCCCTGCCCTTCCATATTAAAAATTTCTCTCCGAACCGAGGTTTCCTGGTGGGTTTTTGTGGCGCTCCTCTCCGCGTGACGTCACGCTGGGCAGTGGCAGGA